AAGAAGAAGAAGAAGAAGAAGAAGAAGAAGAAGAAGAAGAAGAAGAAGAAGAAGAAGAAGAAGAAGAAGAAGGAAAAAAATGATTTCATAACCCAGACGAGTTGCAAGCAGCCATCTGAGTGATTGACTCCATGTTGGTTTTCACTGATGCCTTGATAAATGAGAGCCGTTGTCAGCACAGCTGCATGTTCTCAGTAAAAATAGACGCGACGCGGGAGATCCATCAACAGGAAGTGGAGGTGCAACCTGAAGCTTGTCATTTCCTCCTTTTTTCTTCATTTCCCTAAAGAGAGTGAGTGTGTGTGAGTGTGTGTGTGTGTGTGTGTGTGTGTGTGTGTGTGTGTGTGTGTGTGTGTGTGTGTGTGTGTGTGTGTGTGTGCGCCGGGCAAGGAGGTCGACGCCCCAACATGTGTGTGTTCACGTGGAAACGGGGAGCATAATTGGCCTCCCGTCAGTTTGGGAATCATGTTGCTGTTAGGAAAGGTGACCGTTAGGAGATCCGTGAGTGACGCTTCTCACCAATCTGTTGGAAACTTTCAGGTGAATTGGGAATATATAAATGCATAACCTCCTATAGCCATAAAACATGCATGTGTCTGTGATAAATTCATAAAACGCAGACTCAGCTGAGTTAGCTCAATACAGGGATAGCAGAAAAGTGGCCATGCATATTCAGACAAATGCTTCCTTCCTGTTTTTTCTACATTTCACCAAATGTTTCACACAAACATGCGGGAGTAAATCCACAAAATGCAACTGATGCTTGTGAGAGTGTTGGGTTTTGTGCCTGCAGTAGAGAGTAGCACTCTACTGGTAAATGATAATTGTGCTCCTATTGACTTTTGGTATGAATATGACGCCATACAAGAGGAATGATTTATTATTTAGGAGTGCAGTTCACTATTTATGTTAATACAAGTATTACTGAGCAAAGAAAAAACTAAATAAAACACCAAAAAAGCTCGGAACAGACAGGCTTCTTGTTGATTAACATGGAAACTTAGCCACATTTCAGGTTTAAAATCTAAGCACAAGACTTTAGCACAGTAATTTCTAATAAATGCCACTTCCAATTTTTTAATTGGAAGTGGTATGTCTTGTGGTTGATCACATTTTTGTTTTACATACAAAGTTTCCGACCAGATCATGTTTCTGGTACACCCGTAAATCCGACACACCGGCTACATTCACTAACAATAACAGACGACCAACCCTCTCTTCTCTCAGCTCATTCGTGGTTAATTTCCGCTTCTAAAGGATCTGATAGGACGCTGGAAAAGACCGTTGTTGTGTTCAAGTTGTACTATAAGGAGTTAGCCTATCAGTGAAGAGAGTCAAGCCTAAAATAGAATGTCGAAGCTAAGCACGTAGCAGCTATCGCTAATGTCCACATTTCTAAAGAAGTTCCACCTCGAATAAAACTGGGCTCCAATCTGATGGTTGAAAAACCTGAAGATCAGGTGAAAATGTATAAATATGTTCATTGTTGAGCTCATTTGTCTATTTATTCATTTAGTAGTAAAAAGGGTTTTGAGTTGAAAATGTTGTTCATTTTGTCACCTGGAATTAACTAGATTAATAATACTAATCTAATCCCACCAGTATTGAGATGATATTTCCATCAGTCTCTGTGTGTCTCCTCAGATGCCCATCAAGTGGATGGCTCTGGAGTGCATCCACTACAGGAAGTTCACCCATCAGAGCGACGTGTGGAGCTACGGTGGGTGCTAAACGCTAACCGACCCCGAGTCCTGCTCCCTTCGTCCGTCCACACGCCTTACTGTCCGTCTCACCTCTCGTCTCCTCTCTTCCTCTTCTTGTTGTTCTTGTTTTTCTGGACGTGTTGCGGTGAAAGGAGTGACCATCTGGGAGCTGATGACATTCGGTGGCAAACCGTACGACGGCCTCCCCACGCGGGAAATCCCAGACATCCTGGAGAAGGGCGAGCGACTGCCGCAGCCTCCCATATGCACCATCGACGTCTACATGGTCATGGTGAAATGTGAGCAGATGCACATGCTCCAGTAAACACCCATGATGAAATATGTGCTCTATGTGAGGCAAGGCGGAGAGTTTTATTGCTGCTTTTAGCCTGGAAACAGAAAAAAATAACTGAGACCACAGAGCTGTTGGTTAATACGCGGCTGGTGTCAGCACCTCTAAAGACCACTAATTAAAACATTACATCTGGAGTAATGCAGGAGTGACTGGGATTACATGCTGGATCCATGGCCGGAGTAGAAGCTACTTTGATGATGTTGCCAGGCAACTATGTAGACAGAGAGTAGAAGATGAAGCTGCTCAGAGAAGTTTATTTAGTTCCGACTCCCAGCAAAGGTTTTCAACAGGATTCTATCAGAATTGTTGTTCTTTTAGAACTAATATATCTGCTGTTATCGGAGTCTTTAAGTTAAATGTTTGCAAGGACATTTTTGCAAATGGCACAGCTCTAAAAAAAAAAAGAGCTTACTGCCTGTATATGTTATTTTTGCAACCTTTTAGCTCCACTGTTGATATTAAAAGTTGACAGAGGAGAAAATCAGAGACTGCGACGTTACTCACCTTCTAATGCAGTGGTTTCCAAACATTTTCTGCGCCCCCCCCCCATGGATTACAAATGGCTGTCTGGTTGAAACGACACGTGTGAGGGGAGGGAGGAGGGGCATTGACTTTTTTGGGGCAAAATGAATGTACGTAGTTGAAAATAGACACCCAACATCGGTAGCCTACAAGGTACTTGTTAAGCTTAAGGTTCTGTATTGATATTAGCTAGTCATCTTTTAGCTAACATTACCTGCATCCAACAGCTTCACTCAACTCAGTCGGTTAGTTTGGAGGGAAAAACTGTGAAAAGTTCTTTGCGTTTTGCTGGTTTGCTGCCGTGATTCTAACACACCTGTAGCTCCGCACAGCAGCAGCAGGTCTCCTTCACAGGTGTAAACCCAGCGCAAGCGTCGTACCGCTCATGTTGCGTTTAAAGGCGGCTCGGAAAAACAGGTTACCACATGTTAACAACGGATTAAACAGTTTTAACTGCTGATAAAAGTGACAGAGGACACAGATATGGGAAGTGTGGAAGCCTCTACTGTATCAAATTGACATAGGAATAACAGAGAGTTGGCCATTCTAAGGTAAAAACCCAGCGCATACAGTGTTCATGTTTTGTTTTGTTTTTTCATCCAGACGGCTTCCCGCGCCCCCCCTGCAATGACACGGAGCCCCCCCTAGGGGGCGCGCCGCACAGTTTGGGAACCTCTGTTCTAATGGACGGTTCCACATTTCACACAAAGTCTGTGGAAAAAAGATAAACAAAAAAAAATCTAAATATTCTGGGTGGATGGATGCTCAGCAACATTCAAAACAGTAAAAATGCATCCAAGGTTTTGGGGGAAGATGTCACATGAACCCATTAGTAATTATTAAACTAGTAATCAGCAAATCAAAATGATTTAATCCGTCCTGCAGACCAGAAATAGAACTAAATGGATTCCTGTTTTTTGTTTTTTTTCCCCCCCAAACGCACCTTTGCTGAAGTCGTTACAGATCAGTTGGACTTTAATAAAAAAAACTTTAATATTCATCTGCTGAGAAGTCATTGACGAGCTGCTGCCTCCTAGCGAGGCGCCAAGATGATGCGCATGCTGGTTTAACTCCGTGACAGACAGGCCGGCCTCACCAGAGACTCCAGTCCAGTTCTTTGTTGGTGCCATCCTCCATCTGGACCGCCACGCTTCCTCACCCCCAAACTTCTCTCCAGCTCATACCGCCCATCCAAAGCCCCATCTCTCCCTGCGTCATCTGATCCCACCGCCGCCACCCTCCTGGCCGTTTCCAGAACCCCGGTGCTTCTGGCCCCGGTTGCCGACTGATCCACCCTCCCATATTTCCAGGAAGCGCTCCAGACCCACGTTGCCAGGACATGCTTCAGGCTGTGCCAGCCGCCGGCTTCTTGGCCGGATTCCCCAGTACCGTCTGGTCGTCACTCAACCCCGTCTGAACTCATCTGTGTCTGAAACGCCCCGAAAAAATCAATCCATACAAAATGTGTTTCTGGTTATTTGGGCTTTTGTTGCACGGTTTCTGAAACCTGAAAGTTCCTCTTAATTCTCATGAAGGTAAGCTCAGACAGTTACTGCTCTGATCCAACATAAAGTTGGAGTATCTAGCGATATACAATGAGTTTGACTGGACCCAGGCAGAGTCTGAAAGCCCTGCAGCACATTTCATTTCCTTATTTCTCACACTTTTTTATTTTACCTTGTTTTGTTTGATGTTTTCTTTTTAATTGATGCAAGGAACTGTTTTTTCAGCAATATTATGATCACAAAAATACAGTAAATTTCTTATTCAAGAAGTTATTCAGTCTTCCCAGCCCACATGTTTCTGAATCAGTCGACGGGTTTCCTCTGCACTACTTCCTGCAGTGTTTCTGAACAACTTATCTAAACGTTGACAATGGATTCTTCTTACTAAACTTTTAAGAACTTTTTATCTCCTTAGCTCACAAACAATTTCTATAAAACTATCAGGACTTAAAAATAAACAGTGAACATATTTGCATATGCACTAATGGTGCAATCCACTGAAATGTCTCCCTAGCCTACTAGCAGGTTAGATTTCCAAATAAAAAAGCAGCACATGAGCAAAGTGCTGCTTTGCAACACCAATACATCTCAGCATACTTAACTGATGACTCTGATGTTCGTTCTTGTGAAACCTCAAAGATCAGAACCCAGCTTGGTTGGTTTCCTGGATCTAGAACCTCTGATTTATGCACACCACATTACCGTTTTTCTAAATGGTTTTAAATGCTTTTAAAACCATTTAAAAAAAATTGCGGTCAAATCACAACATGCTTAACATAATATTTCTGTGCCTGGAGGTTTGAGCGTGAACTTAAACACCTCCTCATTAATTCAATTGAATAGCAGAAACCATTGTGAAGTAGTTTGAATGTTGTCCAAGCAATTAAAATGAAGTTTGAGCCACTCTTGTTATGCTACAGCAAAGTGATATTAATAAAGATAGAGGTGGGCACTGCTTCCTAAAATGTTAGCTGCACTAATCATAAACAATAGTTCTGCTAATGCTAAAGTGCTACAACAACATGGTAATTAGCAGAAGCTAATGCCAAAGCAATACAACATAATTAGCAGAAGTTAATGCTGAAGCGCTCTATCCACATATTTTTTAGCAGAAGCTAATGCTAAAGCGATACGACAACATGGTAATTAGCAGAAGCTAATACCAAGGCAATACAACATAATTAGCAGAAGCTAATGCTAAAGTGCAATACCTACATGTTTTTTTAGTAGAAGCTAATGCTAAAGTGCAATATGCACATGTATTTTAGCAGAACTTCAACTTAACTAACTTCAACCATGATGATACCCACCATATGTCATTAGGAATATGTGACAAAACTCTTGTACCAGTTCATATTTGTGATATCTTTCATCTATTTGTTGAATTGGTTGTTTGTTTGCGTCATCTTTAAAGAAAAAACAAGAGAGAAAAACTTGAAAAGAGGAAATGGAACTACCATGTAAACAGTCTTCATCCACTTCAAAAAAGAGAATGTGAATATAAGCGTCTAGCTACTTCAGAAATTCTCAACAGTCGACATCAACTCTTTGACTCAGATGTCGAATTTTATTCACCTGAAAGCTTACAAATTAGCGCTTTAGAATTGATCCAAATTTATCAATTTAAGGAAAGATAATTACAGTCAACATTTGCAAAGCTAGCAAAAACATTAAACACACGGGACAAAACATTAGCTCCACTATTAGCAAATTAATGAAAGTGTGCCCAGTCCACTGCTAAGTAAATAAATATAATGGTTTGGATTTTTTTTTAATTCCCTAACTAACACCTTCTTTTATCTCTGAAATATGGCTTTAATTAAGAAATACAGATGAGCAAAAAAATTTCTACAACAGCAGAAACTTTATAACTAATCAGATTCCCTTTAATTGATGTGATGCGCGTATCCAGAGGACTTATTCACCTTCAATTATTTATCATTGTTTTTTTTGTTTGTTTTTTTTTTGTTTAGTTTTGTTTATTTTCTTTTTGAGTAATACTCAGCAGTCAGAGTAGTAGAGGAAGTAATGGAGGTTGTGTCAGTGAAATCAGCAGCTCTGCCCAGTCACCACCTGCCGCTTCGCTTTCTCTTCAGGGATTAGCTGTGTTTACTGCAGCTGGAGCCCGAGGGAGAGAGAGAAACACGGACCTTGGACTCAACAGCGAAGTAAAAACAGAAATATGCTTTACTCCTCCTTTTATCTGCCTCTTCAAACGGCCTTGAGCAGCACACTTCATTCTCCGATTGTACAGGACTCAATTAAAAAGAACGTCGCCTCTGCTCAACCGGCATTCGGAGGAGAAATGAAGGTTGAAGTTATAAAGGAGAAAAATTAAAAAGAGGTTGTATTTTTTTTTTTTCCAGAAATGAATTTAGTTGATTTGGGGGACAATTGGGTGCCTCCTGTGAAAATACCCAAATTACATGTATTCACGTGTCCCAATTTGCAGGGGAGGAGCAATGAAAGGGCTGTAAAAGCCAGAGAAGGTCAGCTCGAGTTTTTTATTAAAGATGGTGAAGAATCTTTAGGGAGGCTGAAGTAAAAGAAACAGCAGATGGTCTCTCTCTCTCTCTCTCTCTCTCTCTCTCTCTTGTTTTTTTCTCTTTCTCTCTTTCATCCGTTCTGATGTTTATGAGCTTCTCTTTGTTGCCTGCTTTCTCCTGCAGGCTGGATGATCGATGCTGACAGCAGGCCCAAGTTCAAGGAACTGGCTGCAGAGTTCTGCAGAATGGCCCGTGACCCCCAGCGGTACCTGGTCATCCAGGTACGCTCACTGCCTGGACACTTATTTGACAACGGCTATTTTTACAAACCGGATTTAGGAGGAGATTACCATCTCCTTAATGGTTAATGGTAAATGGTAATTGGACTGAACTTACTGTATATAGAGCTTTTCCAATCATTTTGACCACTCAAAACGCTTTACACTAGAGTCATATTCACCCTCACACATTTATACACCGATACGCAGCTCGGTAGGCAATTTGTCTAATAAATAAAACATACTTTTGTTTTCTTTTCCTGGCGTTAGAAGTTGATGTGAGAAACATTGAAGGTTGAGAAAAGAGTAAACACAACAAACTACGGAAACAAACTACGTTCTTGTTTCCATTTGGGCGTTAGGGAGACGACCGCATGAAGCTGCCCAGCCCCAACGACAGCAAGTTCTTCCAGAGCCTGCTGGACGAGGAGGACCTGGACGACCTCATGGACGCCGAGGAGTACCTGGTGCCTCGAGGTTTCAACATGGCCGCCACGTCGGGCTCCGCGAGGCCCCGTGTTGACTCCAATCGAGTAAGAGTACTTCTCTCGTTCGGCAAAACATCTTCAGTTTGGTGAAGTGATAAAACATCAAACTAAATGTCTCCACAGTAAGACATGAACTCAGCACCAATGAATGGATCGGCAGGTCTGGCAAACTGTAACTTCATAACCCAGAACTTGTAACATATTACAGCTTAATTCTGTTCACTGGAAGCTAAATCATAACCCCAACACGTAATTTAACAGATAACATTAGATAACCGTAAATTATCAGCATACAACATCTTCTGTTACTGCTTCTTCTGATGAGTTCATAACATGGGATGTTTGCGAATAATTTGTAAAAGTTCATAGAACTTGAAGCTACCCCAGAGGAAGGCAGAAAAGTTACATTTACAGCATTTTACCGTTAAACCATCCAGTTTGACATCCGTTTACTGTACGAGTTCATAACAATCATCTGAAAATAACTGTTTTCTAAATCTGATGTAGTTTGAAAAAAAATCTCAAAGGTATTTTGTGCCTAAAGGTAAACTAAAGCGGTTTATAAAACGGGTTTTAACTTATCAATACAGAGTGAGAGTAAAGAGAAATCTCACCCCGAAGAGTCTGTGGTTCTTAAAGTATAAATAAACAAGTTATTTAAAGATTTAACTTCAAGTCTCCAAAACTCCCACTGACTCCACCATGTCATTATTTATTGGTTAGATATGATCATAAAATGGACAAATTCTTGACAAACAATGAACACACATTAAGAAATGCCACAGCCAGTTAAATTAAAGATGTGCTTTGTTGTTACCTTTAACATTCAGAGGTGTGAAAAGTATTTCTACCTTCTGCTTTCTTCTGTTTTTCCTTTTTGTCCCAAATGTCTCAGAACATCAAACAAACACATTTGTTCCATTTGCTATGGAAAAAAAAAACACAGGCATTCAGACCATCCCGGCCCAAAGTTAATGAGAAAACATCACAAATGAATGTTTCACCATGTTTTGGTCTATTTGTCTCGTCACACTGAGTCAGACCTGCAGAGTAAAGAAGTCACTTAAAAACAGTTCCTACTGTGAATGAAAAAACATCAGTCTGGTCAGAGTTACATAACCACTGATATGTTTTGGATCATTTGCAATAATGCATTAGTGTGGAAAAAATGCAGGGATTTGTTGATTTTTTTTGTGTGTGTGTGTGTGTGTGTGTGTGTGTGTGTGTGTGTGTGTGTGTGTGTGTGAATTTTGGTGAAAAACTGGATGCACTGCTAACGCCTGATAACACTCTGTACTCAGATTATTATGATAAAAATTTGCTTCATTTGCAACATGTCTTGTGAAAACAAATACACATGACATATACTTTCCTGCATTAAAAACACTAAGAGAAAGTTTTTCACAAACATTTAACAGACAAAAACTTAAAACTAGATCAGAAATATTGGCTGTTCCACCAAATGTCTTCATTTCTGAAGATTTCCATTTCTGTATTTTGATCTTCCTGAGCCACCGTCCTTTAGAAGGACTCAGAATGGTTCAGAGCTTGGACTACACCAGTGATTTCTTTCTGCTAATGCTCCGCCTGTTGCTTCATTTCCATTAAAGCACTCTGCCTTAAATCTGGACTCTTTATGCTCTCGGGTCCCCAGGCCCCCAGTTTCATTACTCAGCGCTTTCTAAGCAAATAACACTTCCCCTCCTAAAAGGCCCGAGCCGTTTGCTAATGGACAATAAGAGCAGGCTAATGCGGTATGTACCTTGGGCTGCAGGAACATGCCTCTGCTTCTCATGCAATCTGCATGTTGGAGGTGAAGGACTGCAGCTCTGCTCCGACTGTCCAGTCAAATCCTGAAGTTATTGTTTGACCTCTGCAGACGTGGCTTTGCCTCTATGGTCAGCACAGAGGAGCAGATAATGGCTGGCTGTGGAGGAAGAGGACGGACAGAACCACAGGACATTTCTGTGTCTTCTTGTCTTTTGTTGCTCTGCTCCTGTAATTGTTGCTTAGCATTCAGTGTTTGATGAAGTGCAGAAGCCTTCAGCCCCCGGTGAGTCAACACCGGAAGGCCTTTGCTTGTTGTGTCATGTTCTAGCTTTTCTTCTGGGTTCTGGTTCTGTTTTGATGTCGGAATGCTAAAGTTGCGTCTTCGACCGCCTTTCACCATCACGTACGTCTTATGGAGGAAGAAAGAAACCTGTAAAGGATTTACGCTTTTCAGGCTTCCTGCAAGATGTTCATGTTAAAATCACATCAGAGTTTAACAGAAACAACCAAACAACAACAATCGGGTTGAAAAGTATGAATATAAAAGATCACAATGAGTTTACTAGAGGTTTTTCCTCAGAGGTTAAGGGTTAAATATAGAACCATGGATGGATGGATGGATGGATGGATGGATGGATGGATGGATGGATGGATGGGTGGATGGATGGATGGATGGATGGATGGATGGATGGTAGGTAGGTAGGTAGGTAGGTAGGTAGGTAGGTAGGTAGGTAGGTAGGTAGGTAGGTATTTTGAAGTTAAGATTGTGAATTAATAATAACTTGTGGTTTATTCAACTTACATTTAAATATAGTTATTAACCTGCAGTGTAAGCAGCTGTGTTTCTACCATTTAACAATGTCAATGTTTCCCTCAGAACCAGTTTGGCTATCGGGACGGGGGCCCGAACACAGTGGAGGGGCCCCTGGTGGGGGCCCATGGCGGAGGGAACCAGGAGGCGTCCGGCAGCCAGGGCCCGGTTCTGGAGGACCAGCGCTGTAACGGGAGCCTCCATAAAAGCAGCCAGAGCCAAGTCGGGGCGGAGGACCCCGGGGCCCAGAGGTACAGCGCTGACCCCACCATCTTCCTGGGGGACAGGACGTCCAGAGGGGACACCGACGAGGACGGCTACATGACAGCCATGAAGGACAAGAGCTCCTCAGGTACTAGAAGCAGAAGCAAAGCATGATGGGATTTTCCATGCTGTTCCTCATTGCCTCGCCGTAGCATGCTTCACTTCTTCATTTCATCTTGGCTTTATTGATTAACATTCTGAATGAGTTTGCATCAACAGCGGTTTGTGTCAGCTCCCACCACAGAACCATGCTCTGCCTTTGATCATAACTCAGCGCACCAAGCCTTTTCCTGATTGCTGAGCTGCCTCAAATGCAACAAAGCCCCAAGCAAAACGCATCTGAGTGGAGGCGAGATCGATGGAAGCAGTGGAGGAGGGTCGTTGCTTTTCCACTCTGACCCCAGCAGATGGAGCTTCCAGAGCCAAAGAACTGCTGGCGTCCTGCCCGTCTGGTCCTCAGCGGCCGCCATTACCAACCCTCATTAATCACTCATCTCTTTCCTTTAGATTCCATTCATTCGTATTTCCTTTTCCTTTGATTTCATGTCTGTCTGTCTGATGAGTTCATGGTCTTCTCCCTCTGATCTGTGCTGCAGAGTACCTGAACCCCGTTGAGGAGAACCCGTTTGTATCCAGACGTAAAAACGGCGAGATCCACGCGTTGGACAACCCGGGCTACCACAGCACGCCCAACAGTCAGCCCAAAGGAGAGGACGAGTACATCAATGAGCCCCTTTACCTCAACACCTTCCACAGTCCTGCTGAGCTGGGCCTAGAAGCCCTGAGAAGGAACGGTCTCCCCTTACCCAGCATGCCCCCGTCCTCCATCTCAGCCTCAACGCCAGGCTCCCACCTCCCGCTCACCATTCAGACCAGTCTGCCCCACTACCCCCTATCCTCTGCCCAGCCGTCTCCGGCCGGCCTGCCCTGCCTCCATGCTCCAGCAGCTCACATCCTCCATGCCCACAACACCATCAGACCTGCAGGGCCGCCTGGAAATCCAGGTGGCTCCGTCCCTTCCAGCCAAACAGGAACTTCTGCTCCAGCACAGGTGAGCCAATCAGGTTCCCTGTCCACTTCGTCCACCCTTTGCCACGGTAGCCTGCCAGCCTACCAGAGCTACACCACCTCCCATCCCGGCAGCCTGCTGAAGCATGGAGGGCATACGTCAGGGAAGGCCAGTGGGAAAAAGCTCAAGGTAACCTTTGACAATCCTGAATATTGGCAGCACAGCTTGCCTCCAAAATCCTCCTTACAGGTGGCCCCTGACGGGGCCCAGGGAGGCCCAGCCAACGCCAAGCTTTTCTACAAGCAGAATGGACACATACGGCCCCCAGTGGCTGAAAACTCTGAGTACATGTCTGAATTTGCCCTGAAGTCCGGCACCGTTCTGCCGCCTCCACCCTACAGGCAGAGAAACACTGTGGTCTAGATCATCCACCAGCTCTAGCCTCCTGCCACCCAGACATCCTTTCTGGTTCCACCATCAGTGGCGTCAAAGACCCGCCTGACTCTTTCCAGAGATTGCGCCATCTGCTGTAGCAACATCCAAAGGAGTTGGACAGGTACAACCAACTCAGACACCTTCCCTACATCCAATCCAGTCCATTTCCGTTTTTGTAGATAGAGACTATCTTCCAACGCATTGAGATGGCCATGGCAACAAAGATCAGGCAACGAAAAATGGAGACACTCTGTGATGTTGGCGCACAACTCTCAGACTTAAAAGGATCGAGCTCTGGGGACATGAACTCACTGCCAGCCACCTCAGTGTCACTTTTGTGAGAGAAACAAAAGGTTTTCTGTTATTTTCCAGCAAAAAAAACAAAAACAAACAAAAACAAAGCCAGAAGATGAGCAATAGATTCCGAAACAAGAAAAATTAGTCAGGTTTTGCAATGAAAAAAAGCGAAATGTGGAAAACTGAGGCAGTTTGGTTTAGTTTTTGGAGAGCAGCAGAAACAGACTTATCAGTCATATTCAGTGTTTTTGCCTTTCGGATTATACCACGTGTTCTTGAATTTTCCATTGAATATGTGAAACCCATCTAATCCTACTGTTACTGTGATACTGTGATGGCCAGAACTACAGTGATCTCTTTTATTTGTAGTTCAACCACAAACTGTAAACTAATCGCCTGAAAATCTCCTGGGCAACAACTGTTTTTTTTTTCTTGTTTTTGTTGTAAACTTGGAGATTATGATCAAAATCATCAAGGAACAAAAAAGTACACTGTTATTACTTTTCTATACACTGGCTCCAGTGCGGAAAAGTTGCATTTTCGACACTGGTTTTCCATTCACACCGCAAAGCTAACTTTGAGGAGAAAATGTTATGGAAATTGCTGCATCCAGCCAAATTGTGTGTGAAGATCATCCGAAAAGGGTCAGAACTAAAAGTGGTGATCACAGGGCGAGAGAATGTCAGACATCTACTGGGAGGACGAGGGAAGGTTCCGACAAGCCCACTAATGAAGACCTCAAGGAATGAAGAAGGCAGCACCAGCAGAGCACAGACTACTTTTTAATGTGTGGATCTGGGTTTGCATCAGTGTGACTGGGATGAGTGTGTGTGTGTGTGTGTGCGTGTGTGTGTGTGTTTCAGCAAGCCAGCTTGGCCCCTTTGAGAATGAGAGAAAAACAAGTTGCAGAAATCAGCCGCAGTGTAATTGACAGCTACAGTTATCAACCAGCAGCAGGCCTAAACAAAGGCCTTTAGACATATGGAAAATGAGAATCTAAGGGTTAACTGAAGGCTCTTAGAGCGGGCCAATGGCAACAAATCTCGCGAAACATTTCAGAGTCCCTGCAAATCTGCTTGGTTGAGTTCAGGAATACGTGGTTTTACGCTGGATCTGTTGACAAACCCTTTATATGGATGGAATTGGTCATGATGGAACCATGTTCTTTCAACGTCCTGGAAGCCGTTTCATGGGTAACGTAGACTACGTTACTCCTAGGACACCAATACCTTAAACTATTTTAAGTTAACCCATCTTCACCAAAATGTTGTGGTTTCTTACCAGCTATCAGGCGTTGTGGAGTTGCAGTTAGCTAGTTAGCTTTAGCAACATGACTGACTATGTCTTTACTTTGTAACTTGAAGCTCTGTATACACTTCAGAAACTCTGGCCACACCAGCACTTCCTCTAACATCTCCTTAAAACTGGTGTGAGGTAAAACGCCTTGGTGAACCTCAACACCGGGAACCAAACCATGCCTACTTCTTCTTTCCACTGGAACTGTTTTTTTTTAAATGTTGTCATTTTTTACCAAAGTAATTTGAAATTTTTGTACCAATAGTGCTTCCATCTTCAGTTGGTTTCTGTAGGTTTATGTGCAGACATAAGTTTCTTCACCAAGTGTCTCCTAAGTAATACTTTATGAATAAGACAACTTTGGTTTATCAAGCAAAGTTATAATAATCATCAGTAGCATAAAGCCAAGAACCACAAAATTCCTCCAACTCCAATGTTCTTTATTGACACATAACTTTTAACATCTAAAGGACCAATGACATCTACCTGTTAAGTATTTAATTTGCTTAATTTTGGTCTAATAAATTAATTAGTTTGACTGGACTCGGACTGGACGCCTTAAAAAATCTTTACATAAACGCCTCCACACTTATTGGGAAAACATCCTGTGGATGATGGCATGCAGTCCAACGGGGTTCCTAGGGCCTTTGGAAGAGAACCTAGCCCACAGCACCACAGGTCCTCCACCGTATTCAACAGTGAGCATGAGGTGGAAATACTCTTTGTGTTTATTTTAGTTGTACGTTTGGCATAAATAGTTTTGTAAAAAAAAAAAAAACTGAAATTTGTAATAGATAAAATGTTGGATTTTTCTAAAACCTTGCACCTTACACCTTTAATTGGGGGCTCTAGCAAATGTGGATGGTACTCCAGGTAACCTGTATCTGTATGGTTGTTTTTCTAATATAACATTGGTCTCCCTCCCTCAGAAACTGTAATTTTTTTTAAATTATTCAGTATAGCCTCAGTCCAAAAAGAAACCCACTGAAACAGAGCTGTTTGATCAGAGCCGAAGTTGAACGTGGTGAAAGCTTCACATTTTCTGTTTTAAATACACAATAAAAGCACCACAATTTTACCGTATTATTTCAACTGCTGCCAAAATAATGTAACACAATGATTAGTAGTTACAATGACATTTTCACATTTCTTTTCAGTTTGGAAATGAAGACTAAAGCTAAAATACTGATAAAATTTAGTTCTAGCATTTTGTTGAAAAGACTTTCCATCGAAATGATGAAACGCTCCAATGATGCTGACATTTTACGTTATTGTAGTTCCATAAGTCATTTGATTGATCTTTGTCATTTATTTATGCCACCCTCTGGCGTAAACGGAAAACAGCCTGTAGCCAAAATCCATGGATCCGTTCCGTGTGTTTGTGGCGTCATTTAATGTGTCCCCCTGTGTTGTTCAGAATACCTGTGAAAAAAGAATTGATTAATCTTTCCTCTCAAGAAAACAGTCGTTAAATTCGCCACTGCTGCCTCTTCGGGCAAACTGCCACCAACGAAGAAAAATGTTGTTGGTGTTAAAAGTTTTAAAAAGACTAATATTCTTCACTTTGTATTGCTCAGCATTAAAACTGCTTTTTCATGTGGTGGAAAACTCCATCTGAGCTATTTTCTTATTTACCTTACTTATATATTGGAGCGTGTCTGAAAGGGTTTGACGATGCACATGTAAAAGCTGCGTACGTTTTTCATTTCCCCGGAGCGCTTTCATCAGAGACGCGGGTAGAAATTGTCTGTTTCCATCTTGTCACACTGAAATATTCAACATGTTTTTCTGCTAGTTTAACACTTAAGAAATCAAATGTTTAAGCATGAGTTTGAGGAAAGTGATACATTCAAGAGTTCAACAGGAAAAAACACATTCGAAGGTGTTGCCTTACCCGCCTAAGAAATGTTCTTGTTCCAATGTTGCTGTTTTTTATGTTTAATATTACCAGATTATGACTAATTTATAAATTAGTATCTTGTAGCCACTTTTAGAACTCTAATTGTATGAAAAAGAAACTGAATTTATAATCAAAGTAAAACATTTATGACATATTTCAGCATATTTACACAGAGCAAAGGAAGCAAAACTCAGTTCCAGGATTTTGAACTGAAAAAAGAGACGATGAGTGCAAATGAAGACATGCTTGATTTTGTTTGCCCTTAGATAAACTTCAGGCAAAGGCAAAATATATAACAACACAGAATGCATATGAAAAAATCATAGAAAAGCAGCCTATATTAGACCAAGAGGTTAACGTCATTGTAAAAACACAGTGGCTCTATTTTAACCCAATCCAGTTTTCATCGACGTGGTGGTCTTTTAGGATCCCTGCTGGACTTTCAGCGTCAATGAAAAAGTTTTTATTTCTTTTGTGAAGAAAATGATTTATTTATTTTTTTTTGCTGCTCTGGTGACTCACGTTTCAAATATATCTTGCTTTGATCTGGGGCAGTGTTACCTGCTGCCGTGGCCGAAGCATTTGGGTGACTCATAGCAACAAAAACAGCCCTCAAACTGATGGTTGTTTTAATCCAAGTCCACACATACACGTGTCTTTTTTTTTATGTAACTTTCTGTGTAGCTTTTTATTTGGTTTTAGTTGCAAAAATCTCTTTTCAAAATATTTTTGAGCAGTTGGTTTCATTGGCACAAAAAAATGGGGAGCCCCAGAAGGCACCTTCATGTTTCTACAGGCAGATTTTTTCTGTTCGGACAGATTTCTTTGTTATTTCAGAACATACTCGCATGTATGTGAATCTGGCACAGATTGATGTTTCTTTTGGAAAACCTGGTTAGTACTGCTGGCATGGGAAACTGAAATACGATCTGTTGTTTTTATGGATGGATTTATTTATTTTTCCGAAGTTTTCTTCAGGTCTAATTCTTATATAGTGAATTTAATTTGCTGTTTAAGCCGCAGCTCAAAGGCACATTGCCTTGTTCCAAACAAAGTAGCTTTTTAACACTCGCATAAATTGAGCCTTCACCAGTTTTGGCTGCTGCCATTAAAATCCTGAACACATGAAGGATGGACACAAGTAACTTTTACACTCTACTATATGATAAATTAACTAGGCCATTGTCTCCAAATAAACAAAAAACACAGGTCAGTATTGTCTTCAAATAGTAGTTTTTGTGGAAAACACCAACTCTTTAGAGATGCTTGAACGTGTTTCTTACGAACCCAGTTATGTAAGTGTGAATTAGTTTAACGTTGTTTTCCAGGTCTTTGCCTAAAGTAGTTGTCACCAAAAGGCACTTTAGCTAGCGTCACATTTTTGACAAAGAGCTACTGAAGTACCTGATAATACTTTTTATTTCTATAAAAAACAATATACACATGTATGTGTGAACTTGACAGATCCTAAACTACACAAACGTTTGTGTAGTTTGGCCTTGTGCTAGCATGTACGTTTAGCGTCATATTAATCCCTGCGTTGTATGAAGAGCACAAAGAGAGGCTACAAACAAAAGAAAATTACTGTCAGATACCATGGTAATTACCATGATATAAAATTTTGATCATACTGCTCACCTCTAAACTTAGTCAAATTAGGTTTAATGGGAGGAACAGCTGTCATGTTTAAGAAAGAGTCCATTCAAACTGCTATATTGTGTAAAAGCTGTATTCACAAATTAATTTGGCAAATCTTTTAACGAAGGTGATCTAAAACAGTTTCTGCTTCAGGCATAGAAAAACAAAAATGGTGGTCATGTTACATTGTGTACACGTAAAAATGGCTGACCACCACGTATTTTTAATATTTTTATCAGTTTTATCTGTCGACAGAAAACTGAGGCTCACGACATTTCTTTTAAACCACAAAATTATGGCACTTTATGTGCTTATCTTCTTATAAGCAGATAAACTGAAGCTATTGTACCTTTTTCTCCATCTAAGCCGATTTGAACTGTAAATATGAAAGCTGGAAGACAAAGATTTGTGTTGTCAAATGAACAGGAAGGCAAACAGCTGTGCTTGTTTATGAATTTAGCGAAACGTTTTCCACATGCACCAATTTTAAACGAAGGCGATGAAGACCTGAAACTACACAGGTCTCATATTCTGATTTTTTTTTTTCTTTTTTATTTGAGAAACAGTTCAAGGTATTACTTATATTTTATTTACTAACCTTTTTGTGAGCTTGGACCATATTATTTAAATGAATTTGTACAGTATGCCCAGAAGGCGCGACAGACAGTTAAAAAAAAAAAAAAACTGGGGGAAAAAAAATTTTTTTTTTATTTTTTTTTTTTATTTAATAGTCTGACAAGGTACTGTAAGTGTGAAGGAGGCATAAACACTGATTTTTTTAAATATTGTTTCACGCTACTGATTACCTGAAGCTACACAGCAAAGGTCATTTCTTGACTGGTTTTCTTCCATTCAGAATAACGCAGAGTATGATTGGTTGTAAATAATGTTTGCTTAAAGTGGATGAGAATAACCTTGACATTGTTGTCCAGGGTACAAAAAATTTAACAGATATTTCAGCAGGTTAGACGGCACAAACTGGGACTGAAGTATTTCAAGAGATAATTGTGTGTGTGTGTGTGCGTGCGTGTGTAAGTGTGTGTATGTTTTCTCCATGCCATCAAGGACGTAGTTCATCCACTGTACATTATTTAACATGTTTGTAAAAATCGAGCTCCAAACTTTGATTTTTAATCGCACAATTTGTCACATGAATGAAAAGTCACGTGCTCTTTTCCACAATAAAATACCAGATCAGTGTAACTGTACAGAATCTTTGGGGAGGGAATCCTCCAGAATTTATCTACACATACTACAACAACAAATGTGAATAGTATTTTTCTAAAGCACTGTAATGGCCGACATGGTGAATTTGTACATAAAACTGGAGGCGGCGCTTTGAATTTACATCGGCCTTTTCTCCGACTCTGTTTTTTTCTCCTGCTTATCACTACTTGTACAAAAAGAGTCGTACATATTTGCTTTCTGTGACTGTATCTTTGGACTGGTGGGGATTTGATTTTCAAAGTGCTTGTTGACCTTTTTATCATGTAAAACTGTTTGGTGGCCCTCCTCCAGGCCTCAGTGGCTGTCCTCATGGATTTTTTTTTTGTTGTTGTTGTTTTTGTTGTTTTATGTAAACACGCAAACACTACAAAAGTGATGGAGGCAGGCTAATATGTGTGGTTTAATATTTCAGTTCATACCTGCCAGATTAACCCACCCATACTTACAAGCATATTTTCCTTTTATTTAGCACCATAACTGTGAAACCAGTGCTGCCAACTAACCTAGACAGTGCTACTTGCTCTGCTTAGTTTCTACTAAATATATTACTGAGCCAAGTTAACTCCATCCTTTCCCTGAAAGGCAGAGCACATCTTTCTCAACCACTTTGGTTCCCTTTTCATTTTTTTGCATGCTTTTAGAGGTGATGTAAAGGAGAGAAGCTTCATGTCTTCGTCCTTCCACACTTTCTCCTCTTCTCAAGCATCGTCATTAGTGACTATCTCTTCAAGTCCTTCGAAATCACACCCAAAGCTTTATATCAGAGAAATACCCTTCCTCATGTTTGTTACATGAATCTGTCAAAAGTATATTTTTAATTTAATATAAATAAAGATTGATTCCGTATTGTTTTGCGGTAATTTTTGGAGTGATTATTTCCACGCGTGCTCAGGTTTTGTAAACGTTAGGTGCAGATGAAATATGTTTTGGTTTTATTTTGGGGCAAAGTCTGTTTTGAAAAATAGATAATATGTATCAAAGGTATTTTCCTGCTTACAGATTTCTGTTGCACTTACATCTTTCATCAAACTAATAAGACAAAGATACAATACAAAGAGCAAAGACTTTGTTTCTTTGTAGGAAGCAGTTGTCTAAACCAATCTTTGCATAAAAAATTATTTGTCCTCTTCACCAAATGACTGACGGGTTGCTGTTTGAGGAATGCTGGTAACTTTGGGAAGTGGAGTCTGGAAACACCTGGAATTTCTTCATGATAAGGAGAGAGAGCTGTCCAGTTTTGGTTTGGGAGTTTATTAATAAAATCCATGAATCAGCAATTGTTCGCGAGAAATCAATCATTTAAATCCCTTTAGCTGGAAAACAAGCCCATGTGATCACCTCTCCACCACCGTGCATCACGGCTAGTAAGAGCTAACGGAGGCTGCGATTCATTTTTCTAATTTTGGCAGAAAATGTATGTATCCTTTGGATGTTGATCTCAGAGAAGCTGCAGTCCGGGTTCAAACTTCCCCCATCTGACGCGCCGACGTTCGAGCTTCAATAATAAAACCCAACAGATGTCGTCTGCAATTAAAACCACGCCACGGTCTGCTTCCTCTGACCCGACGCCTTCAGATCAGCGCCGCAGAAAAGTCGGACTGGAGACGAGATTTGCGCGCTTTGATGCTCAGAAGGACTAGCAGATGAAGACCAGGCATCAAACGGTCTGCGGCGGAGGAAGACTTGGCCTCAGCCCGGCGTTTTGCTCTCGTTTTCCTCCTGCCCCGTGCTGCGCTTAATCCGCTGTTTACCCAAACGTCGGTTACGTAAACTGGCATCGGCAACATCGTTTGCTATGCAGCGCTCCTCCAGTGCTGCTTGGCTTTCATTTCCATCATAAATAATACAAAACTGTCCAGTGGCAGAATACGAACTTTCTGAAGTCGCTGCTATTAATACTAATAAGGCAACGGCTTGCTTAAAGTAAACACTGTTTATGAACAGAAGCCCCCCTCCCCTCACTTTCTTCTCCTTTTTATCCCCTCTATTCATCTCCTCAGAGCACTGAGACTCAATTAGCGAGCACATCTAGTTCCACCATAGTAATGTAGGATAGGAGGGGGTGTTCTGCTGCACTGGGACTCCATTTCAACTTGTTCCCGCTATATGTCTTTAGAGCACATTCCACATCTATATAACGTCTGAAGATGAGACAGACATTTTCTTTCTAGACATGGTTTATTTAGAACCCCTGCCTTGCTGGGTTTACAGTTTACGCTTTCTACTTACTGATAATGAAGTGACCTACTAAGCCAGCTGGTTGAGTTGGATTTTATTTAGGGGCGTAGAATAAAAACAGCATTTATTGTCATGAAAGGGAAAATTAACCGAAGCAACATTTTTAGATTTCTGTTTGTGGAAAAAAACTAGAAGACCATGTGGTCTCTAACCGGACCCCCGGTTAGAGACCACAGCCCACCATAAAAGCTAACATCTACCCTCTTATCTCCATATGTCCCTTTACAGAACATATGGAGATAAGACGGTAGATGTTAGCTTTTTTTGGTAGCGCTAAGATGGTATTTGGCTATCATTGGCAAAATATTAGATATGGAAAAGTTTCAGAAATGAGTCGTCATGGTTTCATTTTCCTCACAAAAACCCAGAACGTACACTGACGTGTGTACTCTTCTGAGATCTACTGCGTTCACACTGGCAGCGATACTTATTGGAAGTCATTTCTCACTTCCAGGCGTTTTATGATGCTTCGCATTTAACACTAATCTGACATGATTGCTCTAACACAATGCTCTTTTTAATTTCAGACTGTATATTTACACTGTAATAATGTTGAACACCCTCCCGGTGTTGCGTAATGCGCAATTAAATACAGAATGCGCCCGCTACCATGTCTGGGTAATGTGGTTAAAGATATGAAACATAAATCATAGTTATCTCCCACCAGGGGGCCGCATTCCCCTCTGTTGTGCACATTTTATCATGCAGTTTGTTGGGTTTTAAAGCATGAGGTGGTGGAGCGTTTTGTAAAAACGCCGGGATTACTTCTGCTAAGAAGCTTGTAGTCAATAGTCGTTTACTGTAATTTCTTAGAAAATATTCAATATTCAGTCAATAGTTCACTAATTTGATCTTAGTACAACCAAGGCAGCAGAATAAATTAGCATCCTGATTTTCAGAGTTCTCCCTCTGACTTGCTGAGAACTTGTGCGCTCCTCCTCCTCCAGCTCTGGCCTGAGGCTGGCACTGCAAGACCAGAGACCCAGTGAGACCCGTCTGCAGCCAGCCGGGGCACGGCGCCGGCCCGCTCCGCAGCCCAGGATTACTGTGTGGAAGAGGAAGAAAACGAGGGAGGAACACTGCTTCCCATGAGGCGACTTTGCCATGCAGCATAGCAATCAGAGCTGAGATGGCGGCTGAGGAAGAGGAGAGGCCAAACTGAGGTAAAGGTTGGACACAACAGCCTGAGGCAGAGCGCAGCTCTCTATCACCTCTGTGAGGGTTGATGGAGCTGCTGCTCTAAGTCCTAACAATACTGATAAAATGAATGCTTCTCTATAGATTTATACAGTCATTAGGCAGCTGAGTGTGGACAAATGCTGCCATGACGTGCTCAAGAGACGATGAACTCTTTAACTGTCTTTAGGTTTATTGGCAAATCACAGTTTAAGCTGAATAGAACCAACAGTGCGAGGATATGATCCAAGTTCAACTCTATATTCTGCTTTCAATAAGTTGTCTCAAAATTAATTTTCCTCAAATTAAGCTTCTTCATAGAATTATACAATCATTAGGCAGCTAACATTTCCAAATCAGGTGGAACTACAGCACAAGGTTGAACCAAACAACCTTGTTGTGTCGAGAGATCTGTTCCAATAGTTCTGAGAAGAGATCATTACCTTGAACAAACAAGGGAAAGTATAAAACCGATATTAGAGACCGTCTCTTGAGATGATGCTGGAAGCACAGCTTTCAGGAAACGGTCACAGGAACTTTGGGAACCTACAACCTAGAGGGATAGAAAAGGCTTCAGAGGAAGTCCTGGGAGATACTGCAGTGGCCATCATGGTTGCCAGGTTGGTTGTCATGAAGGGTTGACTAATTCTGAGATTGCCAAAGAGATTAAAAACTGAATATTTTGTTTAATTTGGAAAAAAAAACACTTGTCATATTAACTGTTGCACAGCTACATACAACAGCATTTTAGAAAAGTGGCAGTTTACAAAAATTGATAGTGAGTTTCAGGCTAAGCCTACCAAGTAGTCATGTTTTTCCTTGTTTTAGTGCTTTAACTCTTTATTTTAGGTTTACTCAGTAGTTTGTTTTAGTGTTGACTGTGATTGGGGCATAGCCTAACCCATATATCTGTCAGAACAGAAAGTTGGTCAAATCTTTTTGTCTTCTATTCAGACATTAAATGTTAGTGCTGATATTTTTTTTGCTTCTGGTGGAAGATTTGCTTTCATTTCTTGGTACACATTGTTATAGAGACGTTTTTGTCTTTTCTGTCCACATCTCAGCAGTAACCTCAATGACAAAAACCAACACAGGAAGACCAACCAGAGGACAGAGATATGGAGGCCCACAAAGCCTCACTATTGCTCTAAGCTCAATCTTTTCTCTTTCTTCATTTTCAAATTTTACCCAGATTTTCTTTAAATATATGCGGTGTGGTTATACCCGTCTGTTCTTTTTTGCACATGTCAGCAGTAATGGTCTGGAAATAGCAAACGAGGGGAAAAAAGGACAATTAAAGGTGCGTGTGATTCCTGACAAGGCGAGATTATTACGTAACTCCACAGATTCTACGGTTCCTTCCTGAACGGTTTCTGTTTGCGAGGGCACCAACCCTCCACCTGCCCACTCCATCACACGGCGCTCTGGGTAATAGCATCAGCTAAAGAACAGGGAGGCCTGAAGACGTCCAGATGGTGTGCAGCTCCTCTGCAATTTGTCAAAGAAAATGATTGCTGAGCGGTGTAAGAAATTAAGCAAATCCAGGCAGAAAGTTCTCACGAGGTGACGGGGTGTTGTTTCATTTTAGGCCTCTGTCTCGCTAGAAAATCTGGTTTGACTTTACCTCTGTTTGACATTAGACTGCAAAGCACTTTCGAGACTCGCAAAGAGATGCACAAAGAGAAAGAGCTCCTTCTGTTTCACCCTTTAAGTCTGGGGACTTTGATGTGGCCGTACGGAGTCAAGAAGGCAGTCCGCCGCCGCTGCCTACCTGCCTCTGCTTTCATCCAGGAATAAGCCTGTTAGCCTGCAGAGAGACATTCCCACAAATACCAGACAGTCACAGTATAAAGTTACGCTTTAATGAACGCAACTGCTGAGGGCCACGCAAGACTTTAGTGTGCTAGAATATACAGAAAGAAAGTACACCCTCTTCCAGTTCGTATCAGGACAGAGAAGAAATTATCTGGTGTTTTGTTTATTGTTGTTTTTTTTACCAGGTTATTTTATTATTTATATCTAAGCTCAACTTTTCAAGTTTTAATTTTACTTTTTACTGAAGTTAAACCGGAAGAGTGCAGCAGAAATTTCTTCTAAAAGGAAGGTGCTGATGTATTTCCGTAATGTCACACACCTGCTATAGTTACTTGACCTTCCAATCCACTTGAATCCAGTTCATTTAAATAAAACACCAATTCACAATAAATGTCGTCTTCCACGCTTTACAAGATATTATGTTGCTTTTGCAGGTCATTGCTGTTGTATTGACATTGTGACATCCACAGACAACCTCTTTACCTCTTAACCAAGTCAGTTACCGTATTTTCTGGAATATAAATCATGTTTTTTTTTAAGTCATATTTTTCGTTGGTCTTATAGTCTGGAGCAACTTATTGGCCAAAAATTACAGTACATGTCATTTTATAATATAATCTTGT